CAACCGGTCAATAAGGATGATCGACTCATAGGTGATTAGTCCAAAAAGTGATTTACCTGAATTGATTAATCCAAGAGTGATCGTTTCAAGAGTGATCAACTTAAGAGTGATAAGCTCAATGATCGATCCAAAAATGATCAAACTGAATGATCAACTAAAAAATAATCGGATCATCAATTAACATGACTTATTACAAAGAATTTGTACCATACACCTGAATTCACTTCCTCTAATTCATTGTTTTGAAGCAATTTTATATCCAGAACCAAAGCATTTAAAAGGTGATAATTAGTTTTACAATTTTTTTGATAAACAATGATCATGTTGTATATTTGAAAAGATGGTTCACCTTAATCAAAATTTACAGTTATTTCAGTTAGAAGATATTATCTACTTATTGGAGATCAAAGTATGATATTACTTCACTAAGATACGGTTGAAATATTGTGGATAAAAACTGAATACATGTAACGAGAAAATTTAATACTTAAGTAAGTAATAGTTTTATAAAAATTATAGTAATTAGTAAATGGAAAATTCTTACTTAAAATATCAGATAGACTTGATTAATTGAGACAAATAAAAGGTATTTAATATGTAGAAGTACTTCTATCACTAGTGCAGAATTGGGCTTTAACATCACCCCATAGACGTCGTACCACAAAATAACCAACGTAAATTATTGGTCGGTGGCATTTCCGTAAATAAGTGGGCATATAGACGTCTGTTAGGAGGGGCCCCGACGTCTATAATGCCTGACAGGTAGGTGAAAAGTCATTTTTTTCACCTTAGAGACGCCCGATCCCACCACCCCGACGTCTATATTCGATTATAGACGTCGGTGCCCCTCCTAACGGACGTGTATATGTTTGACAGGTAGATGAAAAGTTATTTTTTTTCTGTCGTACAAACGTCGGATCACGCCATCCGACGTCTAAATGGCCTGATGAAAAGTTGTTTTGGACATCATATTAGTGAGGGTCCCGACGTCTTGGCCAGAATAGACGTCGGTTCACCTGGGGAGTCGACGTCTAGTTTCTGTTAAATCAAACATCAAACCCGTTATTACGAGCACTTCATCGTCTTCCTTCTCGTCTTTTCTCTCTGCGGCATTGCTTTTTCAGGTGCATTTTTGTCTCTTTTGAATGTTTAAACGTACTTTTATTTCGATTATACTAGTCTTTGGTTGATTATCTTTCATTTGAACCGATTAAAATGAGTTTTGTTGTGTTTTGGTCAGTTTTTCTCGTGTCTTTGGGTAGCTTTGTACCGCATTCTCCCTTTGCTAGTTTCCTCATAAGAAAATCTTGCGTCTTTTGGATGTCTTATAGTCTTTCAACCCAAAACCGAACTTCGTTCCTTGCCTAGTTCTATTGTCACTGTTCGTTTTCATTGGCGTTTTTAATGGAACTAGGCAAGGATCCAGATTCAGTTTTCGGTTGAAATGTCATAAGAGATCCAAAAGACACAACCTTTTCTATGACGAAACTAGCAAAGAAAGAAGGTGTTACTACGTTACCCAAAGACACGAGCTACAACAGACGTCGGTTAATGCAATGTCTGACGTCTGTGGAGCCGTTTAGACGTCGGACATTGCATTTACCGACGTCTATGGAACCTTTTAGACGTCGGGGTCATGCAGTAACCGACGTCTATAAAAGACGTCGAACTTGTTTAAATCTGACGTTTGATTAACGTCATCCACAAAGACGTCGATTCTAGAACTTACGTTAAAAGACCAAAATAACATACGTTAAATGTCATTTTTGCGTCAGTGAATTCAATGGGATGGTGCTATAATTGTACTTTAGTTCAAGTATTTTATTATTTGTATTGTATATATGTTGGTGAGATGTTGACTTTTGGTCCATAACTAGTACGCTGAGTAGGTTAGGAACTTTAAACCATTAAGACTAGTGATAAAAAAACAATCTATCACAAAATGAAAAGTAAAATATTGGATAAACAAGTGCCAAATTATACTTGTTTAAAGTTCAAGAAATGAATCACATATAATATGAAATTAACGAGTAAACTTTTTTCAAACGGATATACGATAATTATTAGAGTACTAAACTCAAGCATTAATTCTGTCCCGAAGAAGAAGAAAAGAAGATGTTGACTAGTAATATAAAGAAATGAAAATTGAAATCCACGTTTATCATAATCTATTTTAGTGCGTGAGAAAATGAATTTGGACAAGAAGCGTATGTGAAAGAGTGAGATACATAGATAGACGATAATAAGGATGACGCAAGCTTGGAATTAAGTAGGAGCAGAGAACGTGGTCAAGTGTTGTCTAGGATTGTCTTACACGTGTCGGAAAATGTCCACGAATACTCAAAGACAATATTAGTTAGCTGGAACATGTTTGTTTGCAATCGAGTGTTTAAAGTTCAAACAACATAGACATTCTACATGAGTGTCTTCCATAAAATGTATTCATCAGTTTCGTTATCCATCATCCATGGTGTGGGGTTTCCTCTGTCGCTCTGTCAGAGCATGCTCCATTCACATGGGTTCTGACTCCGATACAAACAAACAAGCAACATAGTACTACCATAAATAAATTAAATTAAATAAAATTAAACAAAAACATGTCCTATACTCTTTTAGCCTCTTCGCATCCTATTCAACCCGTCACTTCGTTACGGTCCTCACAAAAAGATGTAACATCACAACTTCCAATTGCCCAATATCTAATCACCCCACTAAGTGTTACTAACAAAGTGATTAGGAACAAAAGATTAAAATTTAGGGTTTAGGGTTGAAATTTAAGACGAAGGGTGATTATGGCTGGGCAACTCTATGCGTCATCTTTGCCCTATTTCTTAATCACAACGAAATTAAAAACCCTACCATAAAGTTTTCTTGGGTTATTTATTGGTACACGTTGTCTATAAAATTAGATCCTGGTGGATAGCGAACATTGTAAAATATAAAGAAACAAAATGATAGCTCATGCACAACTAAAGAATAAATTATGTGCATAAAAAAATTTCCTCACGTTTTGCATAATTACTTCTAGCTCCTCCTTGTTTTGCTAAAATAACAAAAACCTCCACAAATGACAAAAGAAAAGTTGGTGTTGACGTCATATATACTTCACGAAATCGATTTATGTTTTCTCTTTCGTGTGTGCATAATATAGGCATGGCTAAAAGTTAACGAGACATTACGATCCATTTTGGATAGATTTTAATAATTATTTATATTAGAAAGATAAAAAAAAATTATAATTTTCATGAATGTAAACAGTGGGAAGGAACTCTACTACTGAATGCATTTCTCTGCACTGTTGTTTTAATAGGAACATGTTGATGATGCAAACCGACCAAACATTTCCCACGTGAGATGTAAACATGTTATGCACAGAAAGTCTGAAGTTTCGAGCTCAGAATTTGAATGTTCAACGTTGATCAACATATACCAATTGGTTCTTAAGAAAATTGCAATGTGAAAAATTCAAAGTTATTCAAGGAAAGTATCAACATGCATAAAAGGAAACCCTAGAAAAGATTGATAATTGACATTTTTCTTAAATTGTTTCAGTACATCATAAAAAGTCAGTGAATTGATTTTTTTTTAAGTAATCTGTTTGATTAATTTTCTTTCCAATTTTATTGTATTTTTTATGTCTCAAAAAGCATACATATATTTCTATGGAATTGAGAGAAATATCTTCATAAATTTTTAAATAGTAAATAATACTATTAGATTATTGATGTTTTAAATAAAATATACTTATACTTTAGAAACTTTCCAAAAAGATTAATAGAAAAGAGGATAAAAACTGTAAATTGAGTCTGATTGTAAATATCTTAAATATACGTACCAATTCATAGTTTAATTAAAAATGCATTGCAACCTTTCAGTTGATAAATTTTAAATTGAAAAAATATAATGTTTTTTAAAATAGTTTGGGAAGAAAACAATATAAAATAGCTGAAGTAAAATAGATGTAAAAAGCTATAAAGTGAAATAAATAAAAGGAATAACAAGCTAAAACTCAAACCAACCAATTTGGGCGAATTAGGAAATTACGAACGATATATAATTCACACTTTCATATTTAACTATAAACTAATACAATTCCTATAATGATAGTTCTTCATAGACTTTATATTGATTACATATTTCAAAAAACACCCTCTAAAATAAATAAAAAAATCATAAAAGAATGAGATTTATGTAGGAATTTGGTTCCTGTTTAGTCTTGTTCTCAATCTAACAGATTTGCACGAACTTCAATTAATGAACATTAGATTGACACGAGAGTATTGACAAGCATGTCACTAACATTATTTTTTCAAATATCTACGAATAATAAAATAATCACTACCAAACACATACGTAACATTATACAATTAATTGTTGTGGATGGTAGCGACTCCCTATACTAAATAATTACTATATTTCCATTATTTCTCTCACGTGCATATATATAACAGTCAGTTTTTGACACATTTAATCTAATTATATTAAGCAATTTGAAGAGTTCATGATTAAGAGAGAGTTTCTTTAATTTCATAAAAGTACTTTCAAACTCCTAAAGTTTAGTTTTGAGTAAATTACATATCAACACTCTGAATTTTTATTTTTTTAAATTATACTTACAATACTCTCTATATTTTTTTTATCGTTATAATAATCCCTTAGGTGCTGTTTGTATATGTTTCTAGAATTAAAGGAAACAGATAAATGTGTAAATATAGATTAATATAAAAATGAGAACAACATAGTATTTTTTTTAAACAAACGCGAGAGGTTTGTATTTGATCACAAAGTTTGAATACAATCTAATAAAAATATATATTATCTATTCTAACATAATTTATAACATGAATTGTAATCTATACATATCTGTATTACAATAAAATTATACTAAGCACATGTTTTATTTTCTTTTATTTATATCCATATGCAATCTAAATGTAGTATGTTAGATTACAACATTTGGTTATACAGCGTAAAAAAGATTAGAATATTAGAACTTTGAGAAATCATAAACAAGATGGTGACCACATTTCTCTACTAATGTTTGTCTTCAACTTCAAAATCCGAAAGGATATATATACAAAACACAGTGGTTCACATAAACGACAGGCTCCTTAGATTCCCTGATCAGCATCTCAATCACATAATTGAAGGTTGGAGCCAACCCCACCGTCATCAAGCACCATGCACGACAAAAAGAAAAGATAGTTTTTTTTTTTTTTAATTTAAAGCTTTAATCATTATTCTAACGCAAACCAGGAACCAACTATACTATACTATGAACAGCAACATCGTACAGTTACAGCTACTATTCTTACGGTAAAAATCTGGGCACTGTCACTGATCCAACCTCATGAGAATGGCAGATTTAAGACTCTCTTCGCTCCTCATTCCATCAGGGACATTGATCACCACGTCCTGAAGCATGAGATCGTTGACGCACGACATGCTAGCGTGATGAACCTGGAACTCTAGGTCTCTCAGTGCACCCATTAGCCTCGCCCCGGGGTGGTTCGCATTTTCGGATTGCACCCTCACCATGGCATCAGGCCCCACGATCTTCACATCGATCTCGAGACCCAATGGGCATGGGCCTCCAGGACCAGGTCTCCCTTGGTCTACGATGGTGGACGTAGTGGCGGTGCTCTGATTATCCATGGTATCCATCATTTCTGTCTTCACTCTTTTATTACCCTCTCTTTGTTGCTGCGATTCCAAGTACTCAATCTTCGCTTTGAGCTCGTTGATGTAAGCGACAGCATCGGACAACAACGAAGCCTTGTCCATCCTCGAAACATTCGGAACCACAGCGCGTAGCGCGTAGAAGCGATGGTTCAGCTTCTCCCTCCGTTGCCGCTCAGCCTCCACGTGGTTCATTGGTGTCTCGCGGCCGAGAACAGGTTTTCTGCCACGTTTTTTGGGCTCCGAGGCTGTCGGGGTGGAGGTGGTTGGCAGCGTTGGACAATCCGAATCAGAGTGTTCGGAGTCTACGTAGCTGTCCTTTTGGCTTTTGGGTGGTGTTTGGGTTTGTTTTCGCTTTTTGGTTTCTTGGATTCCGGCGACGACGCCGATGTCAGCGAAGGAGATGGTGTGGTCGTTGAGGAGTTGAACGGGAAGCGGATCTGGGAGGGGTTGGAAGAGAGACTTGACGTGATGGACGAGGTTCCAGTTTTGTTTGATGCTGTCGTAGGATCCCATTTCGATGACGCCGTTTTGTGTGGGGATGGAGATCAAAGTTTGGATCCCGTGCAACTGTGCCTCGTTTGATCTCTCGCACTTGTAGAATTGGAGCTCGTGTTTGCTATTGAGCCACAGCACAGAGCCCAGAGCAAAAGATTTGCCAAGGAGTGAGGAAGGAGTGGTAGAGGTCGAAGAAGAAGAATTGTTGACGGGAAACGTTCGAGTCAACGACATGACGTAGAACCACTCGGCATCGTTGATGTTTTCTGTTCTGGGGGTTTTGGGGAACTTCTTGGTGGAAACGGGGGTTGAGAATTTTGGAGAAGTTTCTTTGGTGCCTTGGAAATGACCTTCTCCGAAGGAGAGGAAAAGGTTACCATTGTCGTCGTGTGAAGCCTGCCAGAAAATGGCGTAGACCCACCAATCGGGTTGGGTTTGAAGGAGAAATTGGAGGTTTTGTTGAATAGATGGTGTTGGGTTTTGATGGGGTAGAGTGACCAAAGAGGAGGATGAGGAAGGGGAGATGATGAGTTCCTCCATAGTGGTGTTGTGTTGTGTTGCGTGAGAAGATGTAGTATGAGAGGTAGAAGGAAATATTTTTTAGGTGTGGAAGAAAATGGAAGAATGAAAGAAGTGGGTGAGAAGGTTTGGGCATTAATAGAATGAAGATAAGGTATAAATGATGTACGGATGAACAGTCCTTTTAGCGTGAGGAAAGGGTGTAAGAGTGTGAAATATAAAGGAAAAAAAGGAAAAATTTTTTTTTAACTACTTTTTCTTTTTGACAATATTTTTTACAACAGGAATCCGGAAAAATAATGCATTAAGATTTGGGTGGGGGAAGGGGGGTTATATTGGGAGAAGATGGTGGGGGAAAAACTCTGCAATTTGGTGGGAATGCCTTAGAAAATTTGGTTCAAAATCAGTGAGGTTGAGATGCAGTCGATGTTGAGCTCCAAGACCAAGCACGTGACGCGAAAGCGAAAGTTGCACTGCTGCACGGAGAACTACCTTCATACAAGAACCAATTTCGATTTTCCTCCTTTCTCTTCAAAATATACTAACAGGTTTCTTTTAATATCTATATTACTAATCAAATTCAGTAAAAAATCGTAATTCTATAATATTATATAATTCTATAAGTTTCATCATGCAAAATGACGATAATTGAACTATTATTTATATGTTTAATATTAAAGTTTTCAATTTTTATATTTTATTTTAATTTATCTTAACTATATATCTGACTTTTTCACTTTTTGTAATCCTTGCATGAATAAAGACTAAAATATATCGATAAACAGAATGTTAAAATATAGATTAAATCAATAATTTGATTATTAAATTAGACAATTAGTCCCATTGGCTCGTCAACTGTCTTGTCGTTGTTTTCTTATGACTTTTAGCTCAGTGCAATAATTACATAAGGTACCACTTTTTCTTTTACAATTATGTCCTCCACATACAACATTACAAAAGTATTCATCACTTCAGATGAAAATTTAAGTTTTGGAAATTTTGCTGAGAGTTATTTATTTACTATATAAATATAAATATAGGTATGATAAATAATGCGATAGCGACAGAAACGTTGTCTTTTATATTTCGAGATTTATATCTATTCAATGGAATAAAAAAATTAAATGATAGATTTAGTTTCAACTAATAACTGATAATTCAGAACAATATAATCAAAATTCAAAACAAACTGTTATAATCGAAAACTGAAAAATTAATATAAGATATTTATTTATTATTTGATAGGTTTCAAATGATAAGTTAATTTTAATGATATGAATATAAATTGAATTATGTGATTTGGTTGAGAAATTGATGATTATTTGAGATGATAATCTAATATTAACTTCACTAATAGATTAAATTAAACAGATTAAAATATTAGGAAGATAACGGAGATTTTTGCATCATACTTTATGAAGTATATGTAATGGATTACTATGATTGTGTAATATTGGGATTTGTATATTAGTATGTTAGTACTTAGATGACGATCATATTTAACACAAGCTTTTCGAAATATCTCTTAATTATTTTCAACTTTCGTAGATATTAGAATTGTATATGAAGCTTCTTAGACTTTTGTAAAAGTTAGAAACATGTGAGGTTCCTAAATCTTCATAAAGGATAAAAATATAAATTTGATTATTAAAGATATGATTGATTTTTTTTTTAGATCTAGATGGATCAAGAACATGTATATAATTATTTTTTTTGAATAATTATATATATATATATATATATATATGTAAAGATTATTATTGATGTGTAAAATTGGATTTTTGATACAAAATTATCTTATATTTATGTAATGATTCTAACTATCTTCTTTATACAAGATCGTTTGAGACTCTAGAAAAAAGATAATATGGAAGACCAACTTAGAAATTTGATGAACAAGTAAACGAAAAGTTTTATATATTACAAAATAAGAATTCCTATTCCTCTCATCAATTCAATAAACGTTACCAAAAGAATAATTAAGGAAAGCACTCGTAATCTTTGTTTCTCCTATTAATGAATAATATTGGACGTTTTTGTATTATTTTAATTCCATGATTATACTAATGCTACAATTTATAATTTAATGTCACTCGTGAAATTTCTTGAACCACGTTTGACAAAATATATTCAAAAATTAAAAATGATTCCGTCGTCTTTGTTTTTATCAGTTTGTTCGATGCATGATTTCAATCAGTATTAAAGTAAGATAACTTATTGAATTAATTTTATGGGACGAATTGAGACTTTATTCTTCTTTTAGATATTTTTAAATTTTATTGATGTGAATAGATTACCAAGAAATGTTTTTCCTCAAATTAGATTTTAATGGTTCATGTATAATTTCTATATTCTCTTAATAACTAATTCCTAGCAACAATTTTTTCTTCTTTTATAGATTTATATATTTATTTATAAAAAATTAATTTATTACAAATTTATAATTTTTTATAAACTCACGTAAATATAAATTTAAAAAATATATTTAATTTAATATTTATAAATTAATTGGGAATAAAATTTTTGAAGAGTGAGTATAATAAATAAAATACTTTAAATATATTATTATTGTGATAAAAGAAAAATTTACATAATACAATATTAAAACATTGCAAGTATGGTTGTTTGCTGTAAAATTAATTTTGCTAAATGTACATTTAGTTTGTTAAAATAATTTATGTATTTGTGTAATAAGTTTGAAAAATAAAATTAAATATTCATATGATAATAGGTTGAAATATTTGAAAAGAAATTTAATCTAAAGTTAAAAATTTGTAATATGAATGTAAATTATTTAAGTTTATTTATAAAAAAAATAATTTAAAGAAGATAGTTTTGTCGTTCAACGCCAGATCTTTCATAAAAAAAGTGACACTTATCGTCATTTTTCTAACAAAATGTCTCGTCCAACGACACAATTTTGTTACTTAGCGACTTAGAATTAAAATAGTTTTCAAACCTATAGTGAAAAGTAACGCAAAACGGTGTCTTGCCACCACTTAAAGCTAGATCTTTCACAAAAAGGGTCGCTCAACAAAAAAATGGGTGCTTAGTGGTCCTGAGCAAAATTTCTTCCAAACTTGCACAACCAAGGTTGTGCAGAACGTCACACCAGTGCTAAAAAACATATCAGAAAATAGTCAACTTTAATTTGTGATTTAGGGAACTAAGGAACTATTGAGATGATGAAACTGGTATCTTTGACTTAGTGTTTGGTTAAAAAATAGTTTTAAGTGTCAAAGTTCATACCAACTTGCTCAAATGATCATATTATCAGTTCTTAACTCAACATCAATTCAAACAATTCAACAATCAACCATGTATCACACATATATTACTCATCAATTCAACCACCGATATTATAAATTCAATCAATCTCATACAAGCCACATGCAAATTCAAATTCACAATGCATCAATTACATTAAACAAGGTAAATAATTTTCCTTACTTGACAGTTGATCAAACTGCTATAGAGGTCCTGAAATAGCTCAAAAGACACAAAAAAACTCTATTTGTTCTTACAAATAATAGAAACATGATCACGACACGTCATTAAAATCACTTATCAATAGAGAGTCTTATAGAAGACTTAGACGACACATGCAAACTTAAATTGTCCGCATGCACATATTTTACATATTTTATAAACTTCTATTAAAATAAAAACTATATTAAAGTATTAAAAGTAAAAGAAAGATAATTCGTGTTTTCACCCCTTTCAATTGCCGATAAAATAAAACTATACTGATAAGCTTGTTTAATTATTTTAATTATATAATATTTGTAAACGTGTACAATGAGAGTGAAAACGTCCGCTGCATTATTAGAAAAAAATGATTATGTCCACTCATCTTATTTTATTCTTGCTTACTCCTGGTTTGGTCATGATGCAAAATTTGCAGCTATTTTTTAACCTAATTTAGTTTGCGGCTCCATTAGTCCTCAATTAGTAAATATATTTCTGATTTAGTATCAATGTTCTCCATTCAGTGCATACCGTTACTACTTAATTATATACTTTTGCTTTCTAAACACGTGTTTTTAAGAAGGGATTAACGTAAGCAATTTGTTAATTCATTAGACGCTATTGCTATAGTTATAGCACTATATTTTCTTTTCTAGATCTTTTAGTTTTATATTTCCTTGTTGCTTTAAAAAATATATATATTTCGTTGTCATCTTTTTACAAAAATGACGTCTATAGTGTATAGAAATATTTGTATTCAAGATGGTAAAGTAAATCAGATTTTGCTTTTGAAATTTTAACTCTTGAGAGGTTGGAATTTAACATCATTAATTATGTTGAAATATGTTCGTATCAATTGAATTATGAGCTCATTAATATTCCATTACGATAAAATAATAAGTTTCGTGATTTATTACTACAATAAATACCTTTGGAGTTTGATGTTTTTTAATACACATTAGATTGAAAGGAATATTCTTAATTTTTTTTTCTCACCCTTTTTTGTGTGTTTGGTTTGGGAAAGAAATACAAAGAAAAAAGAAAGTGTTTTAATAGAAAAAGAAGAAGAAAATAGTTGAATAATATTATATAGAATACTGTAAATATTTGCTGTAACAAACTATGAAAATGAAGAATATTTTAAGTAACTATTATATTAAATATTTGTCCATTTTGGAAAGATTGTAATTGGTGGGTTCCAGTGATTATGATCATTATGTTAAAATAATTTTGAACTAATTCCTAATATAAAAACCTTTTCGATGATTTATAATTTTTAATTAAATTCAAGCATTTGAAACGTGCCCAAAACAAAACCTCACATTGTGTATAATGGGTTAACTTTAGTCATTGAAAGACCAGGCTTTCTTTCTGCACCATTCGTTTTTCTTTCTTCACCATTAAATATCATTGTGATATCTTTTATACCCAACATAATATATATATATATATATATATATATATATATGTATATGTATATATATATATATGTGTGTGTGTGTGTGTGTGTGTGTGTGTGTGTGTGTGTGTGTGTGTGTGTGTGTGTGTGTGTGTGTGTGTGTGTGTGTGTGTGTGTGTGTG